TTGCCAAAGGATTTAAATCTAGAGTGCACAGAGAACCTCTCGCAAGTTAACAAAGTTGAACAAATTGAAAGTGAGCAGAAGACTTGTCCATCTCTGCACAAGAGAAGTTATATGAATGACCAATAAGCACATGAAAAGACATGCAGCATCATTCCTACGAGGTACCTGTCATACCCACCAGAATAACAGAAATACAAAGACTGACAGTAAAAGATGCTGGTGAGGATGAGGAACAACTCAAAGACTGTCATAGTTGGCTGCTGCAAGTGCAAAGTGATTTCAAAGGCTATTTCTTGTGAAGTTACTGACCTAGCATTTCCAGTCCCAGATATTTGCTAAAGAAAAATGAAAACTTTAGTCCTCAAAGATTTTTACAGGAATATTCATAGCATTCTTATTGTGTAAAACCTCCAAACTGGAACAACCCAAATGCTTATCTAAAAGAAAATGGATGACATGAGGTATACTATAGTCATACACAGTGCTGTAGACAGTGATGAAAGGAGCGACTACTAATGGCCTCTGTCAGTAACATGGGTGAGTCCTGTAGGCATGAGAGACTGTACACTGTGTGATTCCATTGGAACAGGCAGAACAGACTACAGAACGAAAAATCAAGAGTTTTCACTCTTGGAGGAGGGATGTGGGGTATCTTGGGGCAGGACTATGTGTCAAAAAATGGTCCAATCAAAAACTTTACATTTATTGTTTGTGCAATTGTTTTTCACTTTTTTAGTTTAAAAATGTCAATTTGTTCGGGGGACAAACAACATAGAGCTATTTGTATTAAGGCCTCTTCTGACTGACAGCCTAAATTACTAAAATTTGGCTATATATGTCTTTTATCAGTTAAAATATCAACAGCATTTCTAGTCCATGCCCTGCTTCTTCCTATTGAAGTGAGAGTCACTGTATGGTATATTGTACTTCATTAAAAGTGAGTTGGAATGCCTCTTCTTACGGATGAAATCCAGACTGGGAGAAACACTTCTTTATATAATATTTATTGTTATGGAGTGAATTTAAACCAAGCCTGTATCCACCAGACTCCTGATATTATATGATGGTCACTGTAGAGAACACAGAGTTATAATTAATTAACTAACACTGTCCCTCGTCTTGCAGGTGTACAAGGGAGAAGAAGCCACATTCCAAATCTCAGGCCTCCAGACCAACACGGACTACCGCTTCCGCGTGTGTGCGTGTCGGCGCTGTTTAGACACCTCTCAGGAGCTAAGCGGAGCTTTCAGCCCCTCTGCAGCTTTTGTATTGCAACGAAGTGAGGTCATGCTTACAGGGGACATGGGGAGCTTAGACGATCCCAAAATGAAGAGCATGATGCCTACTGACGAACAGTTTGCAGCCCTCATTGTGCTTGGCTTTGCAACTTTGTCCATCTTATTTGCCTTTATATTACAGTACTTCTTAATGAAGTAAACAACCCCAACAAAACTAGAGGTATGAATTTAATTAATGCTACACATTTTAATACACACATTTATTCAGATACTCCCCTTTTTAGCCCTTTTGTTCTTTGATTTATATACTTCTCTTGTTTTACAGATTTAGCTAGGAAAAAAATGTCAGTGTTTTGGTGCACCTTTTTGAAATGCAAAACTAGGAAGAGGTTAAACTGGATTTTTAAAAAAAAGAAGAAGGAGAAGAAAAGCAAATCAGATGCCAGAAACTAGCTTTCTTATGTTTTCTTTTAAGTTTCCCAATTTGCCTTTATTCTATTTTCACTGATAGGTCTTTTACAAGCCTTTGATATTTTTTCATGTTACAGTTTAGTAATTTATATATATTCACCAGTCACTTCTTTTGTCTTGATCATCTATATCTGTAAACAGAATCACTGTGTGTGTAGTTACAGGGCTAGGATTTTGATGTTGTCAGAGTATGACCACACAGCAACGACATACAGGAGATGTCTTCACTCAGATAAGGCTGCCCTAAACCATTTTGTCACCCAGTTATTTAACTCTGTTTAGCTCATTAAATCAAAATGTGTACTTTAATCTGAAATGTTTTAATAATCTGTATTTCTTACGATTTTAACACAATGAGCTGCCTGTATAAGAAATCAAGTAACCAAAATCCACCTATAAATTATGGAGCATTGTAGATTTTACCACATCGATTCATAGCAGTAACTTTAAGAGGGCATTGTGCAATAGTTAGTTGTTTCCTTGTTCAGCTATTTTAAAGCTGCTTTAACTTGTTTGTCTGTCTTTGTATATAACTACTCCTAATCTAATCACTAGAGTTATTATATTCTGTTACATTTGATCAGAATTATATGACAAAAACTGGTGACAGTTTAGTGCCTCTGCCCATCGTTCGTGATTTACACTAATGTGAGCAGTCTCCTTACATGCCAGCTCATTAGTTTTGAAAGATTTGCCTTTAGGCTGTTCTTTGAGGTATCAATGAAGTGATTGTATTTCAATACTTTAATTCGGTGCCCAGAATATTAATGTTACAGCAGATGAAAACTGTTAAAACCCAAAAGGGAGTCATCTGAATTTGTAGTTCCTGTTTCTGTGGGGTTAATCTGGCCATGTGTGGAATGGGAATGGTATTTGGTAATAAGCACAGGGTGTTTGGGGGTTAAGGAGCCTAGATTCTCTCCCTGGATCTGTCACTAACTTGCTGCGTGACCTGAACACGTCACTTTACCTCTCTGTGCCTCAGTTTTCCCATGCATGAAAAATAAAATGAAATAAAATGGGGATTCTAATGTTTGTAAGTGCTTTGAGATCTTTGATCAACAGGTGCTATTGGAGTGTAAAGCGTTACTCTTGCATGTTTATTTTGACTCATGAGATAATCAATTTTAACCCAAAGTCATTGGATTATTTATATGAAGTCCATAATGTTCAAGTACCTCAGGGACACTTAAGAGTTGGAGGTGCACATATATTCCAAAAGGGTGCAGCAGACACAGCATACCCCTGCTTCTGTTTTTTTGTATATTTTTGCTACTCAGTTTTTCTTGATCATAGCTATTTTGTGCTTGGTCTATGTTGTCTAAGATGCAGTAAGTATCCTGTACTAGCTTATAATATTCCCATACCAAAGTCATGGGGAAACCAACATTATTTTGTTTTTGGTTTATTTATACTATATTCTGCATACAGTACTTTAAATGCCAATTACAGTGCAATCTTTATTTATTGTAAAAAAATTTTAAATGTACTTATGTACTAATTTTCCCTTGTAGCATGTTATTTTTTATGTGTTTATACTTTTGTAATTTTAGGTCAGTCTTGTTCCTGGCAACATCTGTAGTATTATTAACCTTCTGACATTTTCTTGTGTTTTCAAAGATCAGAGCATCTAGTGCATTAAATGCCAAAAAAAAAAGAAATCCATTGTCAGAGATTGAAAGGTTTACATTTACCCAAAAAATCATAATCATCTCTTGAAAGAGTGCTAAAATCAACGAGTTATTCTGTGTGCCTATATCGATGTAGTAAGTCTAGAGAGTTTTGTATTTTGTTATTGACTACAATTAGTTTAGCCTTGCAAATTGATGGCATCAAGGTAAATATATTTTTGCCAAAGTTCTGGCCTTCCAAAACTCATCCCTTGAATTTACATATGTGATATAACCCACCATGACATAACATCTTCAATTTTTAAGATAATTTCATTGAAGTGTTTTGAGGGAAAAGGCATTTTTTTAAGCAATGAGAGTTCAACTGAGAAAAATACCCTTTTTGCAAGGGAAACACTTTTTTAACACACTTCAGAACTGCTGCTATAAAGAAATTCTCTGAATTAGTTGAATTTTTTTTAAAGAAAGTGATACCTTAGGCCAAAATTGCTGTGAATAGTTGATCTTTAGAGATTTTTCTACCCTGTCTTTAACCACCAGAAGCTGAAGTGTGTGAAATACAAGCTGACAGCACTTTATTTTATTGCTCTCCATTAGATATTCATCATAATCCCTTCAGTCAGAAAATTATTACTCTGTGGCACTGTTTTGTATCACAAATTTGTATATGGGATATTGGTATAGAACTATATATATTGCCATACACATGAACAATAAAATAAAGTGTTACATTAACCTTATCTCTTTGCCCTTTTGCAATATGTAGGAATGAATGAGAGGCTTTCTGATGCTCTGACACTTCTCTGTATGTCAAACTCAAACCCAATGCAAGAAATTCCAGTCATGTTGAAAAAAGAAACTGCCCTTTGTCCTCAAAGAAGTTGTTTAAAAAGAAAATGTTTTTTAAAGATTTTTTTCATATTATCTGCCTTGTTCTTATCAACTTGAAGTGTTGGCATTTTCTAACCTTGTTTTGTTGGCTACAGTAATTCAGTATTCATGTCAAAATTTGAAAAGTGCCCTAATTGAATGCGTTTGAATGTTATCCTTGCACAGTTCTTTAAATTAAAAGACAAAATGTTTTACCTCACTGTTGGACATACATTCCAAGCTTTTCAACTTTAGGAGAAAAAAAATAATCATATGTTTTCCTGTATTGTAAATTTTAGACTATTTCATATGCATTGTATTAAAACTGCCATATCAATTTTAATGTATAGATTTTGCAAATATTATGCTATATGTAATACCTAACTGTATCTGTAGTGTATATGTAATATATTTATGCCCAATAAATGTTTTAATTCTTTCTGATGTAAGTAGGGTTTTTCATGAATAGGGTTGCTTTTGTTGTTGTTGTTCTTTCTAAATACTTAAACCACATCCTCAGAAGTTGCCAATTCAGATGCCGTTAGAGGCAGGCAGGTGGCATGGTACGTGATGCTTGCTGTGCCATCCAAAGGAACGCAGCACCTCACCTCCTGCTGGTTGAGGTCTTGCAGGACTGCCAGCCACAATCATGTATGCTGATATTTCAAAAGGAGATAGAAGTCCAGCTTTCTCCTTCCAGGCTCACTAAAACGTGATTGCGGACTGTAGAGGCCCGTGGACTGTCACACGTTACAGTCAGTGTGGACAGCATACCTCTTTGCCAAATGTTTTGTCTGTATGCAGAGCTCAGGGGGCCAGCTCTGCCTCTGTTCTCCCTTGACTGCCTCAGGCACGTTATTCTCCTTGCTCCTCCAGGTCTCATTCAGCAGCAACAACAACAACAGCAATAAGGCATAGTGTTCCTACTGTGACTGACCTCATCATGAATGGTTAGATTGTGTTGTTAGGAACGAACTCTCTCTCTCTCTTTCTCTCACTCTGACAGAAAAATTGTATGGAAAAAACAAATTGTTAATAACTCAAAGCTCACTTTCTAATCTAGTATGTGCCTGTAATCCCAGCTACTTGGTAGGCTGAGGCAGGAGAATTGTGAATTCAAGCCTAGACTGACAGATTTGTTTGGAGACCCCTATATCTCCCCCGAGAAAAGCTTACTTGTTATAGAAAGAATGGTAGTCATACTTGAGGGTAACAAATTGAACACACTTCAGATTTCGCATGCATCTGACACTCTACTGAAAATGTGAAGGAATTTTTTGGTTTTAATCACAGCTCCCCTCAAGACTTGGAAGAATGGAAAAGAAGTTATTATTAGCACCCAAGTTTTGGAAATTAGACCAGAGAAAGCCAAATTCTAATTTAGGTAGAGGGGAATTTAATTTTTCAGTTCTTGGGGCAGGATACCATGAAAGCTCAAAAATTGATAGGACGTGTTGTTTTTGGACTGATGGTATAAGGGAAAGGTGCACTTTCTACTGGTTGAAGCTGTTTAAAATGCACTTAGGTCCATAAAATCCCTCCTCTCTTTTTTTAAAGTTGTTCCTGTAGCACACTTACAGAGTGTAGAAGTGTACCCTCAGGAGTAGGTTAAAGCAGAACGTCTCTAAACTGAGACACAGTTGAGAATGAAGATGCCATAACAAAAGGATTTTATACACAGAGTCATGCAGGAGAATGTTAGAGGGAGTCTAACCTGAAGAACATCATGGACCAAAAAGAAAGATCAAAAGTGCTCAGTGAAATGCTTCACCCAGAGCACCTGCTGTTGGTACTTTCCACTGCACATTATCACTTCTGGGGGCCCTTCAGAGTCCCTGTACTCTCCACTAAAGAAATGAGCGTTGCTGGAGCCCCATTGCTTTCTTTAAAGCTCCCCTCAAGTGATTCCAGTATGCAGCCCAGATTGAGTGCCCCTGCTGTAAAGGGAAATCTTAGTCAACAGTCCCATCTCAGCTTTCTTGTTCTCCATCTTAATCGAGGGCACCCGGACATCTCATGAAAGCTTCTGGCACGAATGAAAAGCTCAGATCAGCAACGTGGAAGAATCAGAGTATGGGGAGAAGCTCCAGAAAAACATGGTTATCTCCGGAGATGAGATATTTATACCCAGTGTAAGGCATCTACAAAATGGGAATAGAACTGACAAGACTTGAACAAGAAAATGTTCTGGAAATTGAAATTGTGTTGGAGAGTTGGAAGCTGGAGTAAGCAAATACTACAAAAAGAGCAAGGACCAAATCAAGATACCCAATATCCACATATTAGGCTCTCACAGAAGAAAATGGAGGAGAGGAAATCATCAAACGTGAGTTTCCAGAAAGAGAAGGCACTAGGAGCGCATCGTGATGAGGAAAGCAGGAATTCAGCCAAGGCAGGCCATCTTGAAATCTCCAAATATTTGGGCAAAGGAAAAACCCCAAAGTGTAGGGAAGCTGGTCACTGGAAGGACTGGAATCAAGAGTAACTGTAGACTTCTCCATCGCAACACTGGAAGTCAGATGCCAGTGAAGCAGTTACTTCAAGATTTTGAAAGAAGTAGATTTCCTACCTCAATCAGTCAGTGGTAAAAAAAAATACATCCTCACAAATGCAAAATCTAACAGATTTACTTCCCATACACTTTCCCAGGAAGCTTCTGGAAGACATGCTTTTCCCTGTGTGTGAATGAAGGAGGAAGCATTGAGGATTCCACCTCCAGTACTTTTCATTCAAGTTGGAAGCTGGTTCTTTGGCACGAAAGGATTGAAATAACTTTCACTTTCTTACCGTCTGTCTAACTCAGTTTGCTCTGTTATGACCATGAAATGACCCTTTAAGCAAGCTTTTCAGGATGTCTTGCTTTGGTCTAAGTAAAACTAACAAATACCAGTGATGCCTTTTAAAAAACATTCTTACCTCAATTGCTATATCATTAAATGTCCCAAAAGCTGAGAAGAATGTGTACATGAGGAGGATGTCTCATTTTAACTCAGCTGTATATAGCATATTATCTGACACATAGAAACCAACAAAGGTTTTCCTGATGGGAAGAAGTTTGTGTAGCAGGGATGTAAGCCATAGATTTTATTTTGGTCTATAACTTTTTGCTACTGTTGTGTTATTTTTAGGTACAATATTTTCATTTTTAATAGAAATAGTTGTCAATGTTTTAAAATGTGAAAACTTCTCATCAAATATTGGAATTAAAGGTTCTATTGAAATTTAGAAGGCCTGACAATTCAGTCTCATGGAGATAATTAGTAGAGAGGAATAGTGGATACCGTTGTTGATTGAGGGATTTGATCAGCAGTTGGCCACATTTCTAGCTAAGTCCTCAGCCTGGAGATGGGGGAGTTTTTTTGTAACATGAAGATATCTCCTTGTACCCATGTCTCTGTCAAAAGTGAGAAAACACGGGGCACAGTGTCCACACTGGAGCAAGTATGTCCGTAAGTCCATTTCTCCATGAGAACAGCAGAACAGCAAAACAAAATGCCCAATCAGCTTTTTCAGAACTCTGCAAGTCAACCAAAGGTTGTTGGTTTTCTGTCCAACCAAGTTATAAGAGGAATATAATTACAATAAATAAACTTTCTTGTGTGTGTAAGCTATTGAATGTATAGGCTTTGTACTGTAGCAGGGCTTAATAACATGAGAATACATTTTTTTTTATACAAGATTATTTTAAGTGGCACATGTCTTAACATTTTAAATTTTGTGGGTTTTTTCATCTGTATTAAGGAAAAAATGTATCTGGCTTAGGGGGGAAAAACAGGTAAGATTAGAGTAGACATTTAAGTTTATAAAAGAAACAGGTTAATAGTGCAGATGCTACTCAGATCTGATAAATCATAGGGATGAAAAACAGGACCAAAGATAGAGAGACATGCATCTTGGACTGCTACCTCTTGAAATACAGATTGGTGCAATGCAGCACATTTATAGCGCTTGCATTCTTTTCCCCAGGTGAAGTGTTCTGTTTTAAGACAGAATGGAAGAGGGAGTGGGAATAAAAGTGAGGGTCCGTGTAGAGCTAAGTTAGAGCACTTCCTACTGAGTTTTGGTTGCGTGCCAACCACCTGACCTGTGATCGCATTCATGTCACCTAACCACTCTAGCTGTGAGGATGTCTGTCCCTCTGAACACGGGGTGCTGAAAAAGCTTCGGGAGAGCATGTTAAGTAAGTGTTAATGGAGGATTCAAGCCTGACTCTAATTAATTTCTGAGGCCATGAACTTTACCCCTATGATGTGCTGCCTGCCCAAAAAAACCCTCCAGAATGATTTCTGTTGTCATTGCAGTTGCAACGGTGGTACCAGCCTTGAACTTTATTTCATATGGTGGTATACAAGTAATTTTAAACACATTAAAAGACCAGGCGCTGTAATCTTGACCATCAAGCTTGAGTCCATCCCCTCACTCACATACTGTCCCTTCCTGATGAAAGAAAAGGCACTAAGTATGCTCACCAAGTCAGCTGAGGCATCCATGAATTCTTGCTAGGTTTCCCCCAAAGGGTCCCTGGTACCCTAGAAATAGACCTATTTTCACACGTGCCCACCCTCAGGTCTCAGCTTTGTAGCAATGGCAAGCCCTTCAGAACAAGGCAGGATTTTCTTTCCTGCTGGCAGCAGTTTTCTCACGAGCATATTCTAAGTATCATTCCAGGACAACTTACTCAGTTTGCTCAAGCAGAGGAAAGATCAGTGTTTTTACTATGGCCACAATGGAAAATAGACTTTGTTATTTTTAAAATATGGAGTATTTGTATAACCTTGCCAAGGGTGAGTTGCTGGGCATAGGGGAAAAAAACTGTAAGAAATGGAAAGGAAAAAGCTTGACACACAACTCATTAAAACTGGAGAAAATAATTGCACAACATTGTTGGTAAAGAGCTACTATGTCCAAGTAGTAAAAGCACCTATACAGAAACCACCCAATTTTTCTCTTAAGAAATGGGCAAAACAATTTAGTTTATTGAAGTAATATAAATTAGAAAAAAATCAGGAGAATTAATGTTTAACCTTGGTATATATTAGGAAAATTAAACTCAAAAATATTTAGCCCTTTGGCAAAAAAATTAGAAGTCCAGTGTCTTATATTGGAGAAGGTATGGGGAAATAATCATTTCTCTCTGGGAAGACAAACTACAAAATGACATTTGGAAGATAATACAGAAATATTACAACTTAAAGTGAACATAAGTTTAAGCAGTCTCATATTTAAATTTTTTTTAAAATGCACTTGTATGTAAGGATATATGTGCAATGATGTTTATTTTTATTGGCATATATTTGCAGTATTTAATACTGTGATCCCTCACCTATTGCGGGAGTTACATTCCAGAGACCCCCACGATAGCTGAAAATCCACGAAGTAGTGGCGATAAATTTATTTTATTATTTATATACATTTTAAAGCTTTATAAACCCTTCCCAGACTCC